CTAATTCTTTCATGTTTTTTATGTTGGTGTTGTAAACGTGTAGGCAGGGGGAGCTGCGCCCCCCCTGCACCCCCCTAAACTCTAACCTAACCCTAACCTAANCTGTGTTACTACAATATCAATAGAAATGAGTGAAAATTTTGCGAGGGGGAGTGCAGAAAAAAAAGTTTAAGTTAGGTTAGGGTTAGGTTAGATTCTAGGGGGATGCAGGGGGGCGCAGCCCCCCTGCCTACACATTTACAACACCGACAAAAAGATTCGAAGAATCACGAAGAAAAAATTGTACACAATGTCGCAAAATAAAAACTTAGTTATCAAACTTCAATTATTCATAACTTTTTTATTAACAACGAGCGACGGCTAAAATTTACGGATTGTTCCTCAGGAAGGTGTCCTTGACAACATATGTCAAGCTCATTGAAATCGGAGGGAGGTGACCTTTTCTATATATTTACCCAAGCATTTATTACGAGCATACATATAACAAGAGAATTTATTTGTTACATCCTTTACCAAATGAAAAAGAAAAAACCAAATGAAAAAGAAACATACATATTTTTGGTACTTCCTGCCATTCATAAACATTGGCAAATCTGTTATTTATTGATGCATCCATACTAACTGCTGATTCATGTAGTGTCTCAGATTAAGGCCGGTTTGACGAAGACTANATATTTTTGAATATGAAAACATGCGTACTTCAATATATTCTATAATAACAGATTTAGCCAATGTATATACATGATTAGAAAGTTCTTCTACAGTATCATCAAATATATGATTATTTAAATCCGGAAATATATCATAAATTGTTCTCGAATTCGACAATAATTCTCTTAATACTTTTGAACAGAGCATTGCACCAAACTGAGGTTCAATTGGCAAAAGACCTTTATTGCAATTGATTGCACGCCTAAATAAATTCTTTATAAATTTTTTTACACCTTGATCTGATAATGAATCAAGACAGCTCAAAAAATTTTCTGATAATATGCGCTGACGTCGTAATTTTATTATTGCTTTTTTTAAGCCTGTTATGCGTGTTTGAAGACGTTTCAGTTGTTGGTTTTTACATTTATTTATATATTCTTTCTTCTTCAATTTTTCTCGACATTTGGTCAATTTTGTGCGCAGTGTTGATAGAGAAGCATTATAACGATGATCATGATTTATTACACTTATGATTCTAGTATTATTAGGTAATTTGTCATTTTTATCTGTAAAACAAATAAAAAAACTTAGAAAGAACATTTTTACACTAATTATTATCTTATCTTTTATTACGTACCATTAGTTTCATCACTGATTATTAATGATTCATCAGAAAGAAACTTATTCTCATTCAAAATATCACTACTACTTCGATCTAAAAAGAAGAAAAAATTATTAAAAGATTGTCAATTTCTAATAAGATAATTAATATAAAAAATTGTTACCTTTTGGATGTGTTCGGATATGATTTAATTCTTCGCAAGAAACCTGAGGAATATTTTCTATTGATGTCAACACAGCTAAAAATGAAAATGGTTTTGAGTTTATTACTAATATTTTGATCTGAAAAGAAGAAAAATTTATTGAAATCTTTTCAATTTCTAATAAGATTAACAATATATTAAACTAGTTACCTCCTGGATGTGTTCGGATTTGATTTAATTTTTCAGAAACCTGAGGAATATTTCCTAGTGATGTCAACACAGCTAAAAATAAACATTGTATTGAAATTTTATTTTATTAATTAAAGACAAATTTATAAAAGAAAAATGAAGATTTTACCTGATTTTATATTGTTGACGTACTCAACTTTAAAAATTGTAGGAATGCTTCCTTCTTTTAAAGTTAAACAATTAGATTTTTTTTGTAAACATGTTTGCTCAAAATGTTCTGAACATAAAAAGCTATTATTATTTGGAATCCAATTCTTGATTCCCATGTTATCAAGTCATTTTTTAAAAACAACTGATTTATCCAATGGAAATCTAGGTTTATAATAATATATAAAAATTAATAAATATATTAAGTTCTATTTATACTTTAGTTCACTTTTTTTAAATTTTACTTGAAAAAGAAATATTTTAAATTATATGTACGCTTCCGTTTGCAATATTTACAATAAGAATGAGGATTATCAAACTGTGTTAGAATACTATTTGGTTTTAACAGTACTTTAGATCCTGAATGATCAAAACAATCTTCTGTAAAGTGATTAGAGCATAAAACAGTTGAACTAATTGGTGTCCAATTTTCTATAAGAATATTATTTAGCCATTGCTTTAAAAGATAGTGATTGTTGAGTAGAAACTTATAATATGTTTAAGAATATTTAACATTTTGTACTAACTACTACATTTGACTACTTACTTCAGATAAGATAAAGATATCTTATATTGTAGATATAATATAACTAAAGACATGCAATACACTTACTTGTAAAGTTTTTTTTCTTGAGGTTTTGTATTTTTACAAAAAAAAACAACGTCTCATCTTAGTGAGATCAAAACTACAAAACCGTCTCTGCGATTTAATAAATAGGTAAGCTTGTCTATGCTGTGCAGTTACATGTTTCAATATGGTTAACTCGCTGCGCACATGCGCGGAGTCTGTTACTTAACATGGCGGCCTTCAATTGAGAACACAAACTAATGGCGAATTCGATTGGATACACTAGTGCGCACCAGTGCGCACTGAGTGCGCCCTCTTTCATTATGTAGTATTCGGTTGGCTTCCACTTTACTGGTTTAGAATTTCCGTATGTTCGATTGATAATGCACTAAAAACGTGTGCTAGTA